TGTACCCCACTGCCTCTCACAATGCGCATGGGCACTCGGGCACCAATGAACCAGGTGGTGGTGAAGCAAGAGCCGGAGGATGACGATGAAGAGGAGTTAGGCAAGCCTCAGCGATCCGTCATTAAACCTATATACCTGGACGGCAGCAGCGGTGGAACATACATCACGGATGGTGAAACCCTGAACACACCCGTGGTGGCCGCGTCCACTCCAGCCGCCACACCAAATGCGCCCAGCTTCATTTTTACGTACCCAAGCATGCTGGAGGCTGAGAGCCCATCGCCATCCTCCGAGTCCTGCTCCAAGGCCCACCGGCGCAGCAGCAGCAGTGGTGACCAGTCCTCAGACTCCCTTAACTCCCCCACCCTCCTGGCTCTCTGAGTGGGGGTCCCTACATGGTACAGCTGAGAAATGTACACTGTGGCCTGGTGTGACCTCTGGCCACCAATCAGTTTCTTTTACAGAGCCATGAGCGCATTAGAAAAGCCCAGACCACGCTGACTATGTGAGCTGTTGCCCCTGTGCAGGGAGATGCTAAAGGGCTAACGCCACATCTTTATCCGCTCCTACTTCAGCCTATGTCCTTGTTATATTTAAAGATGTACAATTGCGTGTACCAATCCTGAGGCGTGTCTTTTCGACCATTTCAACTAGCGCGTCAGCTTGTTCACTGCAGACAAGTCTGACAAGGGATATGTCACGATACAGTAGGGCAGTGGTTTGTTTGTTGTTGTTTTTTTTTGTAAGTGTTCTTAGTATCTTTATACTTAATCTATTGAAAAAGCCATGTCGACGCTTGCACTCTGCCAAGACAAATCAATAAATCACTTCAACGAGGTAACAGGTGTTTGTTAAGAAAAAAAAAAAAAAAAGACAGACTGTATCGTTATTTTAATTAGTCCTTTTGGTCACCCAGACTTGGCTTCAGGAATTGAACCCCAGATGTGCGTGTGTGTATCCACATTTCTGGCGTTTCTCTCAGTGTGGTGGTATTTATGGACTGTGTTGATTTTCTTTGAGACACTGAATTGACTTTTAACTGCCTGTAGAGAAGCAGAGCTGCCATTGGTCACGAGGTGACAAAGCACTAACTCCTGTGTCACTGTTGCAAAATATAAGGGCCAACTCTGGAATAAGTGACGAGCTCCTCACTACTCTATTTTCCTACTTTTTTTTTGCCTTCACGGCCCGACATTTAAACAGTGTTGCTGTGCTTCTCCTCGGTGATAGTGTGTATATGATTTACATTGGTGTCAGACATGCATATTTGGTGTTGCAGCCCCTGTAGTTAGAAGCATCGCAGGAACTGTCCAGCTGGAGTGTTTTAGTGTCTGTACATAGTGTATGATTTAACCTCTTCATTTTATCAAACTAATGAATTATCCTTGTCTGACATTGAGGTTTTAAACACAAATCCCCTTTTTGATTTTGATTTTTTTTTTCTTTCTTAAATATCAGCACTGCCACTTCTTATGCTTGTGATGTTTGTTTGTTGTTTTGTTTTGTTTTTTAAAAAAGCCAAAAAGTTTCGTGTAAAAAATATGTAACCCTGTAATCTTTGTATCCCTGTCAAAAATGGAGGGATTTTTGTAATATTTGGGAAAAAATAGCCACTGTGGTCTAGACTGTCCAGTTGCCAATGATGTCAACTCTGTTTATACTGTGTTTGTAATTTTAGTAAAGTTTCATTTCTAACTCAAATGTGCAACTTAATAGGTGTTTAAAAAAAATAGAAAAAAAGAAGAAAAAAGACAAAATGGAGGTACTCAATAAAAACATGTGTAGTTGACTTTCTAGACAAAGGCCGGACACAGACGACCTTTTTGACTTTTGAGGAAGGGACTATGAGACTCTCTACAGCTGGCCTGAGATGAAAGAGGGCGAACCTCAACGTGAGTTCTATGAAGCACTTCTTTGACCTTTTTTGTCTGTAATCTGTATCTTTAAAGGAAAGGGGGCTTTACGTGTTGTGCACTGAGAAGGATACAACAGTGATATTGAGGACCTTTTATTGTCAATATAATTATTTTGTTTACTTTGGACATTCCTGTTGTGTTACTTGTCTCTGTCTTCAGCCGTTTGTGATCAGAGGAATGAAACGCACTGCACTGGATGCAGAAAATACACAGCTGCTGATACTCGTTTGGAAAAACTTGTTGGTTGTTTGCACGTCGCTGAGGTTCTGGGATGCAGCAGGACGTCTCTGGTTTGAATTAAACAGGTGCAATGATAACTAAAAACATTACTGCGGGTGAATCTGACGTTTGTCTCAGTGGAAGTCAAAGCAGAAGCCCCTTGACACAAAGTGAAAGCCATCAAACGTACATTTTTAAATCTGCTGTACATGTCACCTACTGTTGGTCTGTTTTCAACTCTTTATTATTTTCCCAAATGCTTTAACTGTTTAATGATTAAAAGAAAATAAAAAAGCAATATGTAAAGCAGTGTTTGTTAATTTAAATAAATAATATGAAAAAAAACTTACTGGAATTGTTCTTTGTTTTATTTGTCACATATTACACCTCACAAACTTCACTAATGAAAATAGAAATGAATTGTCTTCTTTGCTGTTTCTCTGTTTTGTTCTTGTTGGTCAGTTACGAATAAACAAATTAATAGTATTATTTTAATAACAATTTTCTCCTAAACTGTACAACGCTTAAACTCGTCGATTTCTGAAGTGTCCTATGGCAACTGGACGCACCTCACGGGAGAGCTGCAAATGCGGTGTCTACTGTGTTGATGATCGAGCTGTTCTGCTAACCCATAGCTAATCTAGCGCATGTTTTTTAAAATGATGTTCTTATGCTAAACAAATGAAATAAAAATGGAATTGTGAATAAACATAAGAAAATAAAATACATCTAAACGTTGATGTTTCTTCACATATTTTGTGGCATTGTCTGAGGGCTTACAAAGGGGGTCTCAGAGCAGAAGCTAATGCTAATGGTTGGGGGGGGACCTCGGCATGGAAAAGTTTTGGGGACCCCTGACTTGCAACAATGTTTCCCAACCTTAAATACATATATTTATTAAATACATATATGCTGCCATCTAGTGGAATAGTTTTTAAACGTTCTGCTCGTAGATTGCAAACAAACGAAGGAAAGATCATTTGTAGTAAATAAATAATAGTTTGCAGAATAAATCTACTGAAATTGAATGAGTTTATATCTGTCTATCTAAATAAAAGGACGACAACTCCCCCAGAGCTGCTGATGTAGAAGTTTATTTAGACTGAAGCCAAGTCTCGTGGCTAGCAGGTACTTATGACTACCTGTTAGTGAGAATAAAACTACTAAACAAATATTCATAAACTCATATACAGTACAGTAGTTGTTAGTGAGAATAAAACTACTAAACATATATTCATAAACTCATATACAGTACAGTGTCACATGGGTCATTACATTTGGGGAGTCAAAGGCTTTTTTCCTCTATAGTCATAATGGATATTAATCAACTTTGATTACTGGATCATACTTAACAGATGCTATACAGATGTGTAAAGGCAAGTATCGATTACTCAATACTCAATACTAATAAAGTATTAATACTAATTAATACATGAAAAAAGCTCATGTGTCCCTTTCACATCTTTTAGGGTAACTGACAAGGTACATACAGGCTTTTGTGCTGCAACCCCCGCCTCCAGTACTATAAAATGTATGTCACCTGACCACTGACCAGAAGAGGGCAGTGACTCCATGTGATCAAGTCCACCAGACACACAAAAAGAAAAACAATAGAAATGGAAAGTTGTAAAGAAAAAGACTGATCTATGTAATGAAAATAAGATGTAATTTCAAAGAGAATAATTAAAAATATTACAAAAAATCCATGTAATACTGATTAATTTTCATATCTATTATAAACAAGTAATGAAAACAATAGTCACTAATCTCATAAAGCATATATCATCTTAACTCAACGACTGTCAAATACTGTGCCATAGCACATCGTGTGCGGCATGGAAAATTATCCCATTTCACTAAGTTGTTCTAAAAACTATTATTTATTTATTGATAGGCAGAACGATCACTACCTCTTCCACTAGGTGGCAGCAGATCACTATAAAACCGAATAAATAGGGATGTCAACTTTTTGCCAATATCAGCTATGCCGATATAGTCCAAATTCCTATATTCCGATTCCGATATCAACCGATACCAGTATAGCAGGGCAGTGGTGGAAGTTAAGTGTTGCCTGCTCACTAAGGTGATGGGTTAAAACAGTGTTTCTCAATCATCTTCTGCCCCCTAGGGGACAGAATTAAAATACTACTGAGTGCCTGGTAATATTTATTTATTTATCTGTACAAACCACTGTAAGAGTTGTTGGCACCAGCATTCTGCATACAACCCCCTGATTATCACTATAGATTAACACAAGAAGCTACAATGCTGCCATCTAGTGACTAGAGGCTTGTTTATTGTTATAACGTTTTGTGTTCATTTGTTACGAAGCAGTTAACAGTTACGGGAATGGGAAAGGGACTGAGGATACTGTCGCAGGAGCATTGCACTATTTTTAGAGCACACATCATTTGGCCAAACCCAGTCATTGCGTTATTGGGTTTTAAATATTAAAGGAAAAACCGTTCATGATTCCTACAGATATTATAAAATATGCTATTATCGGTCTATTATAGTTAATATCGGTCGGCCGATATTAAAATGACCTCTTGTGCTTTTTATGTCTGTTTGATTTTTTTTGTGTTACAACAATACATTGTCAACAGCTTTTTCTTTGCTAGTCCTTTTTAAACCTATATATTAATGGAGTACTTGTTTACACTGTGCTACTACCATTAAGTTAAATTGTCAAAACAATTTGGAGCTCTTTAATTTTTTAATTTAATTTCTAATTGTATGTTCCATCCATCCATCCATCCATCTTTTTTTTGTGTTACAACAATACATTGTCAACAGCTTTTTCTTTGCTAGTCCTTCTTAAACCTATATATTAATGGAGTACTTGTTTACACTGTGCTACTACCATTAAGTTAAATTGTCAAAACAATTTGGAGCTCTTTAATTTTTTAATTTAATTTCTAATTGTATGTTATCTACTCTATTTTATTTATTTATTTGCTATTGCTAGTGAAATGATTAAAAAAAAACACTTTTGGTTTCACATCCATTCCCAAAGGTTAAGTGTTACAGCAGTTAAGATAGCATAAAATAATTTCTATCTGTTCTTGTAGACAGCACTGTATTGCTTTAAGAAAATATAAACTGTGAATTTCCCCAAGATTCGGTGCTCAGTCTTGCTGCACTTACTCAATAAAAAATTAACAGCTAAAAACAAATTAAACACGTTTCAATATTAACCCTTTCCACTGCACAAACTGTACAACGTCCCATTAAAGTCCCTTCATTAACAGCCCTGATTAATGAAAGCCTTTCCCAACAATTATAACTAAATTATTTGTTGGGTTTGTTGTTGTCCGTTTGATGGTCAGATTGATTTTGGCTAAAGGAGGATCTGTGAGTTCAGCTCCTTTGGAGGATCTTTATCGACTCGAGCCTCTGTTCAAACGGGCACATTGATTGAGGAGTCATTAAACAGACAATGCACTTAACGACAACGATAGGCCTCTGTACTTAGAAATGAAAAGCTGCCCAAAAGAAATCAGCAGCAGAACAGAATGGCTTGGCCAAAGGGGCCATCAATACAACAGAGTGCTGCGTCATTTTATTTACGTTTTTTTTTTTTCTCTGTCCACTTTCTAATCACGTGTTGTGGACATTTAACTGAATGTATGGACTGTAGAAGATTAGTTCAGTCAGATTATCACCATACTGTTCCTTCACTCACAACAAATGTATAGGAACCTGTAATTTGAGCAGTTTGATAGACAGAAAACTGGACACATTGGCAGATGTGTTATCTTTAAAGCAAAGTTAAATAATTGATTAGTAATTCAATTCACTTTCCAGCCGTCCATTTGGTAAAAATCTTCTCTTGTGCCTGACATTTGTCGACATAAATTTGAAAAGGATGGTTCCATTTTTCTAAAGCGTAATTGTTTTTTAAAAAAGTTATGAGAGTGTGCTGTCACTGGAGACATTAGTTAAAATAATCAAAGTCACTTTAAAACTTATTTCAAAGGCTTAAAGCTGCTGTGTAAGTAAATATGAAGCTCTCTGGAAAGACAATCTATCAACATACGTCATTACACAACTGATATTCAACAATATCAATCTGATACCTTCCTTTCTCCTCAATCATGCCGTGGGCTGCACTGTTGCTGAGGCGACAGTGTTCCTGTTTATACGCAAAATTAAGTCGAACATTCCGGCTTAAGTATCGGATCTGACCTGCTGTAGGCGGATCTATCGGATCAAGCCATTCCTAGTTTTCTACCTCCTGTTACTTGTCTTTCTGTCCCAGCAATAAAATAAGCACAGCAGTTCACCATAAGGCTACATGCAGGCTAGGAACCTTTGGTTACGACTTTACCCAAATCCATGCAAAAGTAAACTAAGATCTGAGTGAACTTCTTAGTTAGTCCAAGCTTCTTTGAACCCTTGTTTTCTGTCTGAATTCCTTTTGTTTTTGCTTGTAATAGAACTTGGAGAACTTGTTGAAAATGTTGGTGATAGGCAGTGCCACAATTAGCAGGCCAACGATGATGCACAGGCTTCCTATTATTTTCCCAATGGGTGTAACTGGTAAGGTGTCCCCGTAGCCCACTGTGGTCATGCTAATTGTTGCCCACCACCAACAGATAGGGATCGTCTGCAGCTCAGACTCTCTGGCTTCTCTTTCGGCAAAATATGTGAGAGTAGAGAAAAAGGAAATGCCCACAGACAAGAAAAGCACCAGTTGGCCCACTTCGCTGGAGCTGTGTAGCAGCGTGGCGCCCAGAGAGCGAAGGCCGGTTGAGTGGCGAGCCAGTTTGAGTATGCGAAACACTCGCATCAGCTTGAATATCTGCACCACTTTGCCTACTTTTTCCAGGTCTTTGTTCTCACTTCCGTCCATCATGTCACAAACGACAGTAACATAAAAAGGCAAAACTGACATGAAGTCAATCAAATTGAGGGGGTCACACAAAAACTTTCTTTTTGATGGTGCAACAGCCAAGCGAAGGACAAACTCTGCTGAGAAGAACAGGACACAGAGGTTCTCGAAGAAGGTCACGGACGGGTTTCCCAGCTCTTTGTCGTTGCCGTCGACCTGATGGCCGTCTGACATGCTGTTGACACACATGGCTACAATGGAGACAATAATCAAAATTAAAGAGACTAAAGCTATTGCTTTGGCCGAAGTAGAGTAACCTGGGTTCTCGAGGCGTATCCAGATGTACTTCCGAGCATTTGAACACCATGAGCCTTCAAATTCTTCTAAACTCTCCGCCGACACCGATACATCCTCCAGGGAAGAGTTTAAGCTGTTGAGCTGGAGGTCGTTGCTGTGTTGATCGTAGAACTTTGACTCAGCCCGCTGCATTAGTTCATAAAATCTGTTGCTACAGCAGATTTCCATGCAGCGCTCTTTAATCCCCCAGTATTCGATCTCTTGGCAAAATGAAATAACACATAATCCTTCAATGAAGTGAATTTTACCCGTAAGGTAAAAATTGAGAATGTAACAAAAAAAATGCGGATTGCGATCAAAGTAGTACTCCATATCAATTGGACTAAAGTCGTCACAGAGCTCCAAGATGGCCTCTTTGGAGTGACAGCACAGGAGGCGTCCCAGGCGTGTTTGAGGGAATCGTTTCAGAACTGTGCATCCCATTCTTTGTTTGAAGCCCCCGACGTTGACGTTAATGAAGCAGTCATCAGAGCTGTGCTGGTCCAAGATCTGTCCGTAGCCCATTCTCCACTAATTTCCCTTATCTATGCAAAAAGTGTAGAAAGTTCTAGAGACCGAGGTGCCTGCGCAGAAACAGACTGGATTTAGAATAGCTCTCTTTGGGATTCTTCTTCTGTATGTAATCTGATCACAGCATTAAACGTCAGAGTCATCTAGTATCACGTGACATCACTGAGTTTCTGTGACATCCTGTAATACAATGGTGAAACGACCTTCAATCTAT